GAATAAATAAGAGTCGAAAAACGGTGCAACGAATCATCTGCTTTCTCTAATAATTTAAGAAAACCTCAAAGCTTCCACGCTTCGCGCGAGAGGAGGAACTGAATTAAGAAAAATAGGGATAAATAAGAATCGAAAAACGGTGCAACGAATTATCTGCTTTCTGTAATAATTTAATGAAACGTCAAAGCTTCCGCGCTTCACATTCAGACAAGGATTAACAGTCGAAAACGGTACAACGAATCGTCTTCTTTCTCTAAAAATTTAAGGAAATGTCAAAGCTTCAGCGCTTCGCGCTAAAATGGGGAAACTGAATTCAGACATTTAGGGCTTATTAAGAGTCGAAAACAGTACAACGAATCGTCTGCTTTCTCTAATAATTTAAGGAAACACCAAAGCTTCCGCGCTTCGCGCTAGAGGGGAAAAACTGAATTCTGATAAATAGGGATAAATAAGAGTCGAAAACGGTGCAAAGAATCGTCTTCTTTCTCTAATAATTTAATGAAACGTCAAAACTTCCACGCTTCGCGCGGGAGGGAGAAATTTCATTCAGACAAGGATTATGAGACGAGCACGGTTCAACGAATCGTCTACTTTCTTTAATAATTTAATGAAACGTCAATACTTCCGCGCTTCGCGCGGGAGAACTGAATTCAGATAAGGATTAAGAGTCGAGAACAGTACACCGAATCGTAAGCTTTTTCTCATAACTTAATGAAACGTCAAAGCTTCCGCGCTTTACGCGGGAGGGGGAGAAACTGAATTCAGACAAAGATTAACAGTCGAGAACGGTACAATAAATCGTCTTCTTTTCCTAATAATTTAAGGGAACGTCTAAGCTTCCGCGCTTCGCGTGGGAGGCCTAACACCCACACCCCCTAATGAGCGCGAAAAAGTGATTTGCTTACTCACCTGCGCCCCTCCCTAAAATAAGATCCGAGCTCCGCGCCTGCATTAAAATATATAGCTATGATGCTGACTAAGTTGACGAAATAGTTCGTATATTTATGTCGTCGAGGAAAATGACCATTTGCGCATACGCAAGTACTATAGATAATCCATAGGAAAAACAATTTAGCCTTCGGCCCCGGATTTATAGCGCTAAATTTGTAGATATTGGGACATTTAATTTTGTCGGTAATTGGTGGCAAGTTTTGTCGGTAATCGTTGGCCTCTACACCCCCACTGAAAAAGGTCTAGCGACGCCCCTGGCCTTGATAAGGTAGACATGGAATCGGAAATAAATTCTTTTTATTTATCTTGGAAAAGTAAATTATTGGATGAAACAACTTGTAGATGGAAATCTTTATTCAATTATTGAATCGACAGGATTGGAATTTTTTCAAATATCTTATAAAAATGCTGTGTATACAAAATGGAATGTCAGAGTTTTATCAAAATATTCTTGATGCATGGTCAGAATTTAAATATCGAAGTTTAGTTGAGGTCATAGAAATAGAAGAGGACATACTATGGAAAAATAGTCATTACATTTAAAAAATCTACACTTTGTCTATTGTTTTCAAAGTGGTACGTAGCTCGAATTTGTAAAGTAAAGCACGTGATTACAAATGGTAGTTGGAAAGACTCGATTCTGTTAAATAGTAAAGTTGGTATTCTTCAATTATTATTTGAGTTCGAATACGCCAAATTGAAGAAATGTTTCCCATGCTATTAGTTAAATAAATCATACGTTCGAAAGAATGTTCAATTAAGTAGTAAACAAAACAATTCAAATTTGATAGAAGTAGCTTTTCCTTTATCATAAGTGCCCCTTTTTTATTCTCTTAAGTGCTTCTCATCATATCTCGTCAGTGCCTCTTTTCAGGTGCGATAAGTGCCCCTTTCACGTCTGATAAGTTCTCTTTTAACAATTCTAACGCCCCCGACCCCTCGGCAGCGGCGGTTCTATGTTTTCGGGAGATTGTTTTTGTTTAGGTCCGTTAACTCCAGTCGGAGAGCATCATCTCACCGCGGCCGAGGTGGGGGTGTTAGTTAAAACCCCACGAGACCACCACACAAATTAATACACAATAAACAGTTTCAATTACAATTTCATTTGGTCGTTTATTCTAAAAAGGGTTACAATTTCTTGTGTCGTGTTTCTTCAGTGTTTATCCCTTACCTAATTACTTAACTACTTGAGCTCGTTTACCCACGCAGCCACATCAACAATCACTCACTTAAAATATATTTATTAGTGGGAGGGGAAAGGGGAAAAGGAAAGGATTATTTAAATTACTTGGGCTTTTAGAGTCTTTGATCGATCGATAACTAATTGTTTTTAAGAGTTTATAGGCCTTTTTAATTGGGGGGAACGGGTTGACTTAGCTCTTTCTTGTATCCGGTCTCTCGACTCGTCGCACTCGTGTCGGGGCGTAGCAGACTTGAAATTTCCTCTCGATGTCCTGGGGGCGTCGGAGGGTCTTAAAGGTGTGTGCTCGTCCTGGTCCTTGTGACGTCGAAATCGTTGACTTTCTCAAATACGAGCACAAAATCAGCGTTCTCCTTTGTCTCTTTCTATTATTCTGGGTTGGAAGTGTTCTTTTTACTGGAGAAGGGCAAGATGCAGTATTACTCTTTGTCGTTTCAGTCCCTTTCTATTATTGTCAGCACACAGTGACAAGAAGATGAAGTTCAGCAACTTTCAAAATATTCCGTGGACGAAGCTTTAATCAGTACAAGTCGGGGATCTCCAGATGTCTGTGGTGGCTGAATTAAACTTAGGGTGGAAGGAGAGGGGTGGCAAATGCTTGGGGTCCAGGGATGCAAGTGTGTAGGGAAGGGAGGATTGGGTCTTTTATACTCAATTAACATACCGTTCAGCCATCTAGCTCGCACCTCGAGTCCAACAAATTCCTTATTAATTTCCTTTGTTTTTCCATCCCATAATACTTTTTGGTCACCTGATCTCCCACCACTGTCGACTTCTTAATGGACAGGGCAAAAACTTATTTCATTGGTCCAAACTTTCTATTCCAAAACTCTCACAAACTTTTTACCTGTTTTTATTCCTGATTGGTCAAAATAATGAAGGGGAAGTCCTTATACTTTTTAGCGTGGGTATGCTGGATTCACTCATTGGGATATTCTCGAGATACCAGTGACAGCTCAGGCTCTAGAGTATCAATTAACTACTAATACAACGACTCTGTTATCATTCACCATTTTCACAAACACCTAACTAAATTCTATCAAAAACAAACCTTTTGTCCAAAGTATTTTTATCGTTCTTAACCCCACTCGACCTATTGCTCTACCCCTTTTCCCTTGTCCCTTCACCTACATATAGCTACATAGTCTATCCCAACGCCATTTATTTATCAATCAAATATCCCCTAGGACTCAAAATCCTTTTAACTCGGCTACTTTCAAGTTCAAGCACAACTCCGCATGTTCACACACATCTTTAATCCCAGTGTATTCCACCATGCTACACAATGATATGAGCCTCTTTCCTTTTGTAATAATTGTCTTATCCCTTTCGATAAGTGTCCCCATTTCCTCTCATCACTAGTGCCCATCATTTAAAGTGACTATGAGCAATTTCCCCCAAAAGCTAACTCGCATTTATAAATGAAATAATAATTCTGGTACTTATCAAAGGTCTTTTCAGTTTTCCGTTTTGAAAATGGGCTTATAACTCCACTCAGGATTGGGTGTTTTCCTCTCTATAAGATTTTTCGCACTGCGACCTCACAAACATTGAATTTTTCCTCGCCTCGCAAATGAATATTCAGCTCAATCAATATCTTGAATGATGTATAAAAAGAAACAAATATTGAAATCATCCCTGATAATGTAATCACAATGTAAGGGTATATACCAATGTCAACAAAATTGTATATTTTCGCTTTGAAATTTCCCTTTGTAGGTGCCCTTTTTGTCCAGAAAGTGCCCTTTTTAGTGTTTGTGCCCACCACTTTGGAATTTGCTCCGCCGCCCCTGCGTCCCGCCGCCCCCTACTTCGGGGTCAAAATGACCGCACGCGTGTTACAAAAATGTCCGGTAAAAGGGTACTTTTCACGCACCAAAGTCCGGCTCGTAGTACACAAAATTGACTTTACACACCGGAGTGTTTTCAAAAGGAGGGAACACGCATATGCGTACCCCAAATAACACTGAGTGGGGGGGGGGGGGGGCATGCGTACAGCTTAAGGTTTGGGAAATTCTTTATTAATTAAAACATTTTCCGAAATATATCTCGATTATGTTACATCATGCTTTGATTGTTTTTCATATCAATTATTGTGATATTGTTTGATCCAGGTCGTCTGATTGATTTATCAATTGACAAGGGGCCACACCCACAGCTTCAAACTATCGAAAGTTAGAGCCTTCACTTCAGTCCGAATGGGATCGTTCTCGCAGGGAGTCGTCAATTTATGGAATGCACTTCCAGCTTATGTAATTGATAGCCCATCTGTAAACTCATTCAAATCCAACCTGGAAAAAGCATGGAGAGCTAAATATGACATGTTCAACCAGGGAGATGAGAGCTTAAACCCTGGTTCAACCTTAAAGAAATGTTTCCTTGATTTTCCATTGTCCGATGCTCCGACATAGGCGCAATCCCCAGTACACACTCAATCCTGCTACAGAGGGGCATAAGTAATTATACTTATAATTTGTATTATTATTTTGTGAAATGTTATAATTATATTGCATGTTTTAAAAAAAAAAATTAAAATCTTATTTCAAGTGTTCGTCTGTTTGCTAGTTTATGTATTGTTAATTGGGGCCAACGTATAAGGCTATCTGTTCTTTTTTGTTGAACCCTCATTCTTATAATTTCTTTTCCTTCTAATTGCTGTTTTGTTTTCTATTGATAAAGCTATGCTGTTTGCAAATTTTAGGTAGTTGATGTTGCTTTTATTGAGAGTGAAAATAAAGACTCAGACCAGGGACATACAGACTCAGAGCAGAGTCCCTTTTACGCCTTTATTTAATTTTCTATTTTTCCCTTTAAAAACACCGTAAACTGAAAATAACAACAACCGACCCCTAATAACCACGCGAATATCAACGATGGACTCCGACTCCGATTCAGATTTTGTGTCCTTTGGGACCCCTCTTGAAATAATTGAGGAAGGTGAGTTAATTTTAGCCTACACTCGTGCAATATATGAATCATAGAGCTATGGCCGATTGTTGACCTATGGCGTGGGGGTTATTATGATCTACATGAATGTATGATCTTTGTACTCTAGTAACTTAGTACTGGCTTTCATCGAAAGGGTGCGGTGCGGTGCGGCGCGGTGTGGTGTGCTCAACGCACCCATTCGATAAAAGAGGGGGGGGGGGGGGGGCTTTTCTCGAAAGGGTGCGTTGAGAGCGGAGTACCGTATTAACACACCCTTTCGATAAAAGCGGGGGGGGGGGGGGGGGGGGGGGGGGCTTTTCTCGAAAGGGTGCGTCGACTAGTCTTTCGCATCAGTCGTTTAAAATGAGGATCTGGGACAGAAGGTAATAGTTGCCAATTTAAGTGTATCGAAAATGTATTAAATAAAATAAAATGGTCTTGATTACAGAGTGGTCTCTTTCGTTATTACTATGTTGATGGGGGAGCCAGAGAGAAGGAAAAAAGGGAAAGGGAAATAGAAGATAAAAGGAAAGAAAGAAGAATAAGAAGAAAAGAGGGAAACGGCCGGGGGGGGGGGGGGGCGAAGGGCTCTTGCCTCCTCCTCACCCCCCCCCCCCCCCCCCCGCCAAAAAAAATAAATAAGAGAGAGAGAGAAGGGAAAGGGAAAGGGAAAGAAAGAAGAGGAAAAAGAATAAGAAGAAAAGAGGGAAACGGGGGCGAAGGGCTCTTGCCCTCCCCCACCAAAAAATAAATAAGAGAAAGAGAGAGAGAGAGAGAGAGATTTGAAAGCGAAAGGGAAAGAGAATATAAAAGGAAAGAAAGAAGAGGAAAAAGGAAAGAAAAGATGGAAACGGGGGCGAAGGGCTCTTGCCCTCCCCCTCCCCCCCCGCCAAAAATAAATAAGAGAGAGAGAGAGAGAGAAGGGAGAGGGAAAGAAAATATAAAAGGAAAGAAAGAAGAGGAAGAAGAAGAAAAGAGGGAAACGGGAAGGGCGGAGGACTCTTGCCTCCCCCCCCCCCCCCGCCTAAAAATAAATCAGAGAGAGAGAGAAGGAAAGGGAAAGAGAAGATAAAAGGAAAGAAAGAAGAGGAAGAAGAATTTGTGTCCTGCCAGTGTCACAAATAGATATAAAAATATGCTCATCTGGCCGTTATTTATTGCCCAAAACCCCTGAGCTTCCGGGGGCTCCACCCCCTTGACCCCACGCCAATTCGTGACCCCTGTGTCACAAATAAGGTATAAAATAATAATAATTTAATGGACAAAACTCCTGAGCTTCTGGGGGCTCCGCCCCCTGGACCCAACACCAAATTGTGTCCTGCCACTGTCACAAATAATAAGGTATAAAATTATGCTCATCCGACATTAATTTTGATGTTTAATACCCCTGAGCTTCTGAGGGCTCCGCCCTGTGAAAAAAACGTGTAAAAAAAACACGTTAATTTTACCGTTTTGGGGAGATAGGCCCCCCCTCCCTGGCGTTCAAGGGGGGGGGGGGGGGGGTACGATTTTTCAAATTTTCGAGGGTCCCAAAAAAAGATTAGTGCTCTCTAGTAATTTCGCGACTACTCCGAAACCGCGGCGGTTATATAAAGTTTTTCTTTCAAGTCTTACGCATCTTTTGAAACATTTTTTTGTTGAAAATTGGACGTATAGTTGCGGAGTCACGTGACCTTTTGTTTTTGCATGTTAGCCCTAAAATCGCTCATTTTTGTGATTTATGTACCAAACATAACGGAAATACCATTTATTCTTTTAAAAAAAGAGAAAACATTGGTTATTTGGTCTTGTTTTCAAGTTAATGTGTTTGTTTTGGGGTCAAAATAGTTGAATAGTGGTTAGAAATGAAATAAAACAACAAAAACAATATAATACATAAATACAAATAATCAAAACAAGAGATAACATAGGGATAAACTGGCTCTTCCAACTTTGTTGTCGTATTATTATTCTAACGAATATAATAGTGAAAAAGAACGCTTGAATATGAATTATATATGATTTATGGGTAAAAATGTGAATTCTCTGACCTTGTTTGCATAAATTACCATAAATATGCAAATGAGTGAATTTTTCAAAAAATTGAAATTACCATAGTTTTTTATACACTTCACTTGACATCCATGCACATTTTCGCGGCGATCGGCGGTGAAACGGCCCCCCACCCTCAAGTCTACTCCAATCACATTGAAAAAATGTATGACTTAAATCATCTCTCTCATCATTATACCGCTATAGTATCCATGTTTTTAATATTATTTATTATCCTTCCATTAAACAAGTTCATAGAGAAAATACTTATCTCTCTGCAACATTAAAAAAGAATCTTCATTAATATGTCTTAATTTGTATTGATAGCCTTGTGGTCGCCAACAGTGGCGTAGGTAGGGGCGTCTCCAAAGGGGGGTGTGGGGGTGCGACACCCCCCCCCCCCCCACCTGTCAGGATATTGTCTGTAAAATTGCGCTGCCGTCGGGAAAAAAGAGAAAGGGGGGAGGGGAAAAAAAGAGAGGGAAAGGAAAATGAAAAAGAAAGAAAGAGAAAAACGAAAAAGAGGGAGAATAGGAAAGAAAGGAAAAGAAAGAAAAAAAAGGAGGCAAGAGCCCTTTGCCCCCAATTCCCTCTTTTCTTCTTCTTCCTCTTCTTTCTCTCCTTTTATCTTCTCTTTCCCTTTCCTTCTCTCTCTCTCTCTCTTATTTATTTATTTATTTATTAGAGGAGGCAACAGCCCTTCGCCCCCGTTTCCCTCTTTTTATTCTTCTTCCTCTTCTTTCTTTCCTTTTATATTCTTTTCCCTTTCCCTTTCCCTTCTCTCTCTCTCTCTCTTATTTATATTTTTGGCGGGGGGGGGGGGGGGGAGGGCAAGAGCCCTTCGCCCCCGTTTCCCTCTTTTCTTCTTCTTCCTCTTTCTTTCCTTTTATGTTCTCTTTCCCTTTCCCTTCTCTCTCTCACTCTCTCTTATTTATTTTTTTGGCGGGGGGGGGGGGGGGGGAGGCAAGAGCCCTTCGCCCCCGTTTCCTTCTACTTCCTCTTCTTTCTTTCCTTTTATCTTACTTTCCCTTTCCCTTCTCTCTCTTATTTATTTTTGGCGGGGGTGGGGGGGGGAAGGAGGCAAGAGCCCTTTGCCTTTCCCCCGTTTCCCATTTTCCTTCTTATTCCTCTTCTTTCCCTTTCCCTTTCCTTCTCTCTCTCTTATTTATTTTTTTGGCGGGGGGGGGGGGGGGGGGTAAGAGCCTTTCGCCCTTCCCCTGGTTCCCTCTTTCCTTCTTCTTCTTCTTTCTTTCCTTTTATATTTTCTTTCCCTTTCCCTTTCCCTTCTCTCTCTCTCTTATTTATTTTTTTTGGCGGGGGGGGGGGGGGGGGGTTAAGAGGAGGCAAGAGCCCTTCGCCCCCCCCCCCCCCCCCCCCCCCCGTTTCCCTCTTTCTTCTTATTCTTCTTTCTTTCCTTTTATCTTCCCTTTCTCTTTCCCTTTTTTCCTTCTCTCTGTCTCCCCCATCAACATAGTAATAACGAAAGAGACCGCTCTGTAATCAAGACCATTTTATTTTATTTAATACATTTTCGATATACTTAAATTGGCAACTATTACCTTCTGTCCCAGATCCTCATTTTAAACGACTGATGCGAAAGACTAGTCGACGCACCCTTTCGAGAAAAGCCCCCCCCCCCGCTTTTATCGAAAGGGTGTGTTAAAACGGTACTCCGCTCTCAACGCACCCTTTCGAGAAAAGCCCCCCCTCTTTTATCGAATGGGTGCGTTGAGCATACCACACCGCGCCGCACCGCACCGCACCCTTTCGATGAAAGCCCTTAGTACTGTAGGCTACGACTTCCGAGTTCGACACGAGTAGGCGCATACAGCGCTGCCCAGGGGCGGGGATCGGCTAAGGCTGGCTGCGTGGTCGGGCCTCGCTCGCTCTTGACGTTGCTCATGGCCACACATAGCTGCATATACTATCCTGACTGTGTATTAAAAGCTCTGCTATTGATTCTCAACATTTCAAGCACCACTGTACCAAACTCGGCGCTAGTTCAGAAGTCTATCCACAATTTGACCCGTAACTCGGGCTTGGAGATAGTAAGGTGGTCATGGTGGTGTGTAGACCGAATTTTTCGTCTCTTTCGTTCGTTAGCCTCTTATTGGGGTACGGTCGGCTCTCTCTAGAGACCGAAACAGACTATCCCGCGAAATGTGTAGGTTATGTGGACTAATCAGTACACCAAACTTGCAAAACTTATCCTCGAATTACTCCTTTCACAGAATGCATAACCGCTGCATTTTATATTGTAAATTAGGTATAGACCTCTATGCTTACTTCGGTTCCACTAACCAACTTGATTGACATATTCCATTTAATGGTCCATTTTTAGGAAATTATGGGTCAAAATCGAAATCCATGATAAAAATCTTGCAGCGGTGGTTTAAACTCTCGCTGCGCATGACGTCATCTAAATCTCATTCTTTCTAGTCTACGCCGAAGGCAAAATGATTATAACGGAAAAACTGTGCATGTCATTACGAACTCGTAGCTCGTAGTTCGCGTACTAACACTTAAAAGCGCTTAGATCTATAACAGGAGAACGATACGCGATGCCTGTGTGGGACTGAGACAACAAAATATTTGAGCACCCTCGACAACTATGTCCCTTTTTGGAATGTTTACATATATAAAGCCCATCACAAGAGGGCAGTAAATATGCATGAACTTAGGTCACACTTTTTGACAGACGTCGGTAGTGGTAAGCCTTCCGATTCTTATGACGTTTGGAACATGATATATGTTGATCTGAATATTTTGTAATGTGCAAGAAAAGAAAAATATCCGCAAACTTTGGTCACCCCTTCATACTAAAACATACCCAAAATTTACTACTCGAAATGAAGTAAATATTCATCAAATGTCCAAATAAAGACGGTAGATAACTTCACACGCTCGCCCGCAACCCACCATCAGTATATTGTGCAGCGGTTTGCCGTGAAACAATTGACAGTAACAGTTTAAAATATGCATTGCCAATTTGATACGATAATAGCGACTAGTTTAGTATATTAATGTCAAATATTTCTCTTATGATTTGACAGATGAGCCTCTTCCAAAACCTATATCAGTACAGGACCGGGTTGTTCATGATCGACAAGGTCGTCAACGTTTCCATGGAGCCTTTACTGGAGGGTTTTCAGCTGGCTTCTTCAACACGGTCGGATCTAAAGAGGGTAAAGTTGAATGAGTATATGAATACAAACAAATGATGTTTTATAAACATCTCAGAGGGGTTTAAGCACCCTTTGAAAAAAAATGTTTTGGTATTGCTTGCACTTTAGATATTTGTAAATCACACTTTGACTTTTTTCATGATTTACAAGGTTACATCATTTTAAAATGAGTACAAAACAAATCGTTCAAATACACTTTTCTTAGAAACAAATCATTCTCTTCTTTATGAACATGGGGCCTTCCTTGTATGTTTATCCATATTTTCTCCATCAGGTTTGGTCCTTTCAGGAAGAAAAAGTATAGAGAAATGTTTGATTTGTGGTCCCTCCCTCTATTTTGAGTCACTGAATAGAGTACACAAATCATTGAATGCATTCAGATGTACTTTCTAAAGACAGTTACAGTTGTAGCCAAGTAAAGTACATCCTTTTGATTTCTCTTTTACAGGTTTTACCCCTTCAACCTTTGTATCATCAAGAGGGAAGAAGGCTGATCAACATGATCACAAACCAGAGGATTACATGGATGAAGATGTAAGCATACCCTACCCCTTGAACGATGCCACAGTATTTGAAAATTGAAAAGACGTAATAGACCGGTTTACTAACATTTTCAATTTTTCAAAAGAAAGGTTGAGCTTGACAACTCGAAAGCTTGCTGGGGGCTTGTCCAGCATAGCAACAAGTAATGTATACAGACTTGATTCCATGTATTGTAGTTCATTCATTAAAAACAGGTTAATGGAATACCTGGGAGGGGAGGACCTTGTCACTAGGTCCCCAGGAAAAAAAACATTGATAAATTTGAATATGTTAGTTAAACCAGTCTATTGTCACAATACAACTACTTTATCCCCTCCCCTTTTTTTTCATGTGTAGCTTAGAGTATGACTTAAAATTCAGTAGGAGAGAATGTCATAGAGCCAGAGTGTGTACTAATGTATAGGGAGATACTGGTCTAAACCAGTTGGGGTAATAGGTAAACCTGACTTAATATGGTTGGTCACACCACATCCCACACATCGCCATCTGGTCCCTGTTTTGTTGTTTGGAAACTGACACTCCGATAAAGATGATGAAATATATAAGAAATTGCAGTATTGCTCACCAGAAATGTTCATCCACCTTAAAACACTTTAGTCTTCAGTTAAAGGGATCCGGTAACTTTGTCTTACATCCTTTAGAAATAATCCTTGATTTAGCTCATGCTGCAATGATAATTATAAACCTTTAGGTCAGTCAGGAATTCCATGGCTTTTACAAGCCAATCGCCTGTCTGATTATTAAGATATTAATGATTGGAATTACAAATTTTGAAAACCGTTCGCTGAACGGTTTTCACAACACTACAGTCTATTGGAGGAAACGAGTATGGTAAAACCGGTCACTCAAAGATTTTTACTTTTTTGACGCACTTCTTGATCATTTTGAAGCGCAATTTTTTTTAGGGCTTCAATATTACACCATATCACAGACACTGGTAACATGTAGGACCGTGTATCTCAGATTTAACATTGTTAAACAATCCCTTTAATGCAGGGGGTAGACATTTTTGCTCAAAAGCAAGCAAAAAGGGAGGACACGTAGCCATGTGACCAAATGGGATTATGTCTGCGCTTTTGAGGCCCAGCTAGCTTGCTCAGAAAAGCTTAAATGCAATACATGCTGCAAAGGGCGCATGCTGGGCGGACTTTGGACTCGCTGCAGACAAATTCTCAGAAATTTATATTTGCCAGTTAAGGCTTGTACAATTATTAATGTTTTTTTAAAATGTTTTCTTTCCTTTCGTACCCAAACAACATTTACAATAATGATGCAAATTCTCACGTCAGAGTAGGTAGCATACTTTTAATGTAAAAAAGGGAAAAAATAATAGGACTGAATCAACAATGTTGCTTAGTTTTGCTGAGCAGTTTAGCTCACCACAAATAGATACAGACTGAACGTAGACTAATGTGAGTAACTCTGTATGTTCCTGATTGTCGGGACCCAGACATGACTCGGGCCAAGTAATAGGCCATTTTGGTAATGTAACAAAATTTACACTTAGTGAGTAGTGACTCAATACAAATTATTTCAATACACCTGTTACAAATAGTTATCAGAATGCAAATTGCAAATATTACGTGCTGTTAGGAACAGCAAGCCACAATGATTTATTATTATAATTATATTCAATTTAACTTCATGCAACACTTTGTGCATTGATATTCCATGAGAGGACAATGATGGGATAACTTTATTTATTCTGATTTTGCAAATTTAACACTGTTGTATTATTTGGTTGACAGGACAAAGGAGAGTGTGGGATAGCTCCACGAAAGCTTGTAACAACTCAGAGGTTTGCTGGTGAGGAGGTGGGATCCAAGAAAAGACCAGCCCCAGATGTCAGCATCATCCCTGATGATGGTAGGATACAAGACATCATTAAACCTACAGAGTAAGTATAAGGCATACCAAGGATTATTATGATGCTGATACATTTTTGTTTGGTCAATGTTGTTTGAATAGAGTATCAGGATGTATTAGTATGATCAGTTATCGTCGATGAATTATTGAATCCTCAGTTTGGTAAGTTTTCAGAAGCGTGTCAAGACATTCATGTTTAAAGTTAAAGCATTGTTTACATACCTTATTATAGTAACTTTTTGTATCATTTTTGCATATATATGTCACATTGCTTTATCAGAATATCAAATTGTCTCTGAGTTTCAAATTTAAGAGAAAAAAAAACATGCCAGAAATTGAGTTAAAGGTTTTGTCACCATGATACTGAAGGTATATTGAGGTGTTGTGGTCTAGTAGATAAGTCACCCGACTGCAGATCACAAGATACAGGGTTTTTTCACTGCCCCTTACACATTTCAAGAATCCATTGATAAATCACCATGAAACTTTGTACACAATCATGTATGTATCTTGATGAGCCAATGAACTGGTTGGATTTTGGGGTCATCGGGTCAAAAATCAAAGGGTCATACATGTATATAAAAACTAGCTTGTATTCACGATATTCTGAGAACCTGTAAGGGATTTCAATTAAACTTGAAATTTAAAGATTGCTTCTGTTTTGGTTTGTAAAATCACTCTATGGTAGAGGCATCATTTTCGACTGCAGGCACAGTCAAAGATCCATCTAGTTATTGCTGATTTGCTATAGAAATATATTTCTTTGCTGCAATTTTTTTCTTCTCGTTCCAGAGCTATTTCTTGTTTACTACTATGGGATATGGAGCAGTCATACTATGTTATCATTCATTTACCTTTTTCCTGTAGATGATGGGAAGGTTTATGGATGTGCCAGACCACCAATCCTTGAACCACAGGGTGATGATGAGGGTGACAAGGAAGATGATGACGAGAGCCCAAATGAAGATAGCGATGAAGAGGACTTCATGAGGGGCTAATTCCTCTTTGCTCCGGATGATATTCAAGACTTCATGTTTGCTCTCAAGGATGACCAGCACGGCATCGGCTACCAAGGGATGGACTCCAGGTCTATACTCGGTGGTCATGTGACTCTATTCGACGACCCAGTCATGAAGCAGAACAGAAGACAAGGCATCAAGAGTAGCGTAAGTAATATAATTAATGATCCAGAATTGCTCTGGTGACAACAGCTCTGGGCTTTATTGTTTCAAAAGTTTGGGGTTAGGGTTGGAGTTTAAAGTTAGGTATAGTGTCGGGTCTGGTATAGTGTCGTGTCTGGGATAGTGTCGGGTCCGGGATAGTGTCGGGTCCGGTATAGTGTCGTGTCCGGTATAGTGTCGTGTCCGGTATAGTGTCGTGTCCGGTATAGTGTCGTGTCCGGTATAGTGTCGTGTCCGGTATAGTGTCGTGTCCGGTATAGTGTCGTGTCCGGTATAGTGTCGGGTCCGGTATAGTGTCGTATCTGGTATAGTGTCGTGTCTGGTATAGTGTTGGTTGAAGCTAGGAATAGTGTAGGATATTGATTTTGGAGCAATTATCCAACTGTCGTATGTACAAGTGTGCTGACATCCTATTGAAACTCATTAAAGGGAAAGTCCACCCCCAAAATAAGTTTGTTTCGATAGAGGCAGAATAATAAGAAAATCAGGTGAGTGAAAGTTTGAGCAAATTCTGAATGAAAATAAGAAAGTTATGAATTATTGAAGTTGTGATCAATCAAATACAAATTGGCAACTCTGTGACTTATTATACGAGCTCTCCTTCATTTGCTTTGTGCATAATATTCCATAAAATCATGTTTTCTTTGTTATTGATGACGGAATATATATTTGTTCCTTGCAGGGGGAGTATAGAAACATATTTGCAATTATTATATTTAGGGTGCATGTATGGTTGAAATTTTTCTTGAGGGAAAATGAAAATTTTAGATTTTTTTAGTACTGAGCAAATGGAAGTTGAGCTCGCATGATACGTCATAGAGTTGCCAATTTGTGTTTGATTGATCACAACTTCAAAAATCCTAACTTCCTTATTTTTAATTGGAATTTGCTCAAACTTTCACTGACTTGTTTCTCTCATTTTTCTACTCCTATTAAAACTAACTTAATTTCAGGGTGGACTTCCCTTTAATTTCAATCTACCGTTTCAACTGGGATATTGACACACGTGTTCTTACAGTGGTTTTAATTAAACGATGTCTCGTTCGTTTTCCTCAATCAACAAGATGTACCTGCTTTGCCGGTGTTGTTTTTGCCTTTTTGCATTTTTGCAAGCTTGATCAGACTCTTGTAGTAGACGGAGCTTTTCTGATAAAGTCTTTTTATCAGGTAGAATCAAATGTTATGCTGAAGATAAAGTATACTGGCTTTATTTTTAGTTAATGGATTTGTTGTGTTTAGTGCAAAATTGAACAATTACATTACTGCTGCATCAGTGTAGCTCTCTGTTCAAATGTGAACAGAGAGCTAGCATAGCTTGTTGAAAGTACATTAGATGAGAGCTACCTAAAAACATGCATATTGTATTAACAAAACAATTTCATGAGTTATATCACCAGTGATTAATGTTTTCATTGACATACGCTGCCCTCCAAAAGTTTTTTGTACATGCGGCCATCTGTCAATTTCACAAAATACATTGACTCACTGAGTAGCTCCGCTATTTGACCATATGGTAGTTCTTCACTAGTACATGGTCTTGAATGTTGTAACTTCATTTTGGTCCTTTCGTCTGACCTCTGTTTCATGGTAGATTGTTTTCGTTTCACAGTCTTCGTCAAGTCTGGACGGACTTGATCTACGGTGTAATCTGCTTCTAATCCTTCTCTTGTACAGAAGTTCACTTGTGCATGTACCGGTGGTTTTTGTGGTGTGATCCGGTATGTCATCAAGAATTTTTGGATTCTCATCTCCAAATTATTTCCACTTGTTTTCTTAACACCTCTCTTTACTGTCTGAACAGCTCTCTCTGCTCTCTACTGGGTGGTGAGGGGCAGTGTGCACTTGTAAAAATGATGCACTGGCTGGAATGCTCCCCAGGGAGTGAAGAATGTGCATACATTGTGTGCGGGTAAGCCTGACTCCGATTGGCCGGGGTAATAATATGATTGCAGGGCCCTCAGGGAGAACAGTATGAATACTGATGAAGCTACCCTGGGTAAACAAGACATATTATTATTATTATTGTTATTAAACTTGTTATATTTTTCTGAGATATATTGAGTTCCATTGTCACTAACCAATGTTTCCGGAATCCCGAGTGTGGCAAAGAGGCGTCTCATAGCAGTAAATGTGGCAGAAGCGGTTGCGTGATGAACTCTAACAGCTTCTATCCATTTGCTATGTGATCTACAACTATCAGAACATCTTGGTTCTCAATTGAAGCGTAATGGATGTGTATTCTCATCCACAGTCTCTCTGGGAGCTCCCAAGGATGAATAGGAGCTGCTTGAGGGTTGTTCTGATGTTCCTGGCACACTGAACAAGTATGAACCTTCTACTCTAAACTTCTGTCTATTCCGGGCCACCAAACAAATGATCAAGCTAGTGCTTTCATCTTGACTATGCCTGGATGTGTAGCATGAAGCTCATCTACTATCCTGGTACGCATATCAGGATCCTGGGGTATGACAACTCTTTGTCCCCATAGAAGAACATCATCTTCTATAGTCAACTCTATTTTTTTCTGAGCAAATGAGCGAACATCATCTTCCAAATTCCTGGAACTTGGCCATCCTTGCATAATGTAATGTTTGATTGTTGTTGTTGTTGTTGTTGGGATTAATGGCATTTCCATCGTCATTAGATGATTTTCGCGGGGCAATGTGAGAGGGCGTAGTTACTAGTCCTCTCTTAGTACTTTTGCTGTTGGATTGACGATAGCCTAGTGGCGTTGTGTTTGTGCAATCAACAGAAGGAATTTATAGCCAATAATTGTTCATATATCTCAACTATTATGCTGGATTATTTCACATTCTTGATGGCTTCTAAAGCTGAGACTGAATCTGTTAAAATCACAACTGCAATTGGATTATATTCATCTATCCATTCAAGTGCCATTAATATAGCTACCAGTTCTGCTCTCATGATGGATATATTGGATGTTTTTAAGCATTTACTTAAAGGTAGGCTTTACTACTTCAGCCTGAAGGGATTAGACCACACAGCGAGCCATCGAGGTCACTGTGACAGATGGCTATCTCATTATACTCAGCTCTCATTTAACATAAGAAAAAGAGGATCATGGGGGACCAACAGGCACCGATTTGGGAAGTTTTCACTATAGAGGGAGCAAGTAGCTACAAGTAGGACAGTGTGCCTTTAAGCTTAATTTTGGGATATAGTAAGCTGCTCCCGTATACCCTCCCTGTTGTTTTGAAGTGTCTGTATAGATCCTTAAACATTAATTCCATTTTTCTTAATTACTTCTACAGCATAATTTTTTTATTCTATTGATCGAGAAAACTTCTTAGAAACAAAATCCTTTATTTCTGTAGATATACATGGCATCTTATAGTGCCAATAGGGTTTAATCGTCATGAATTCAGTGAGTTTTTCAATATTCCCTATTTCCAAGTTCCTCAATCTTTTGAGACAAGACCTTGGCCCATTTTCCAAGAGTAACTTTCATATTGCCAACACGGTAATAAGACTTTTTGGTACATTAGGATGGTTAATTTTAGCTGCATGTATTATACTAATGATATTTATCAATAAACATATTCCTCCTGAGTTGCAATGGCATATCCCCGCATTCAACTTGTAGAGCTTGTAAAGAAGTTAGATGAACTCCTCCAGTAATATTTTTAAGAGCCTGGAATTGTATTTGTTGTGTTTATTACAAGTGTTAGTTGGTAATTTTTAAGTCAGACAATGGTGCGCTTAGAAACACCTGTATTAAGCGCCTAATAAATGTTATGTATTATGTATTATTATGGTGTCTAATTTCTTTTTAAGAGAATTACTCGCACCATCTTAAGCTTCACTTCCATAATCTAAAACAGAGCGGATTAAGCCTTTATAAACATAGTGAAGTATTTCTGAGTTATTGCCCCATTTGGTACCAGCAATACACCTCATAAGATTAAGTCTTTTTTTGCATCTTATTGAAATTTCATTTATTTGTTAACTCCACGTCAATCTCGAGTCGAACGATTCTCAAAGGAATTTGTATTCTAGGAAGAAGACAACTTTAGACTGATTTGCAGTTTGCTCGACATTTATTCCGCTCCGAAACTAGGAGTCCTTTTCCTCAAAACATGTAAAGTAGGAAAGTCAAAGTAAAACAAGTAACATGCATAAAAGCAATAACAAAATCTTATAACCACAATAAAGAGGGTCCACCATAAACAATTCGACAATAATGTATAAACGTGATATGATTCAACAATCTTAAGGGTACATGTACCATGAGTGAAACTCAAAATTGTAGGGATCTCCGGTCACGTGATCAGCGGAGGGATAGTAACTCCTTCCGATCACCCCAGGTCCCTGGGGTTTACGTGACCTGCCGGTAGGATAGTATCTCCTACGGATGATCCCCACAACTTTTCAATACTCACAAAATCATCAATGCATAACTAACATAGTTATGGAAACACTATATTTGTGGGATCTCGAGTCACGCGATCAGCGGAAGGATAGTAATTCCCTCCGATCACCCCAGGTCCCTGGGGTTTACGTGACCTGCCGGTAGGATAGTATCTCCTACGGATGATCCCCACAACTTTTCAATACTCACAAAATCATCAATGCATAACTAACATAGTTATGGAAACACTATATTTGTGGGGTCTCGAGTCACGCGATCAGCGGAAGGGTAGTAACTCCCTCCGATCACCCCAGATACCTGGGGTTTACGTGACCCACCGACAGGATAGTATCTCCTGCAGTATCCCCAATGTTATCCCGGTGCTACTATACCAGCGCATATATAAGAAGTGGTGATAATCGGAACCAACCATGGAATAATCACGAGTAAAAGAAATCCTCCCCCAGTCAACCCCCGTGTTACCATGATATTAAGTACATACAATTCGTTATATCACTCAAAACAACATTGTACTTCCAATTTGTTAATCCTCAATCAACTTTAAGTAGTTTACTTCTTCAACTCTACTTAAACTAAAGAGGGGTGGGTGGGCCGGGGAAAAAGGACTTCTCCG